CACTTACCCGCTGTTGCCGAAGAGTAGGTTGGGGCTGGAAAGCATCCGGAGAGCGCCGAAGAAGAGCTCTTGGGGCGGCCTGCACTTACCTGCTTCAATCTGTGCCCTTGACCATCCGGAGAGCGCCCCCTGTTAATGCATTCCACCACAATTGGTATCTCATATGTACGTCTGCAAAGATTATGAGCGAGAGCGATAGACAGAAAACCAAGTTGCAAAATCACACAGATGTCCAGATAGTCATGTACCAAGCAGCGAGCTCAAATGCACCAAGATTCCATCTAAATAAGAGCAAAGCATTGAACTCATGTGCCAGTTTTATCGCCCTCAAGCCCACCAACACAGTATCCAATGCCGCTCATCTTCGTCTGGCGCCCAGCCCCCAGCCTACTCTACTGAGCTTATCTAGCCTATCTACATTCATGCAACAGGATCACTTCCGACGTTGAAGACCAATGTACATGTTAACACCAATGCCGACCTCGCACGTACGCCAGGTACGTTCTCTCTCCTCCCCTCATCAGACCTTGACCACCCACTCATGCGCCTCCTACCGGAAGACCATCGACCCCCATCACCCGCATGCGCCCCTGCAGCCCGGCTATGGTTGTCGTGCGCCCGCTGCCCTGCAGCGGCCCTCTCACCTTATAGCGTCCGTGTGCGCCCCAGCCAGCAGCGCACATGCAGATACTTGCGCAGCAGCGCAGGAGCGTATCCGCATTGCCTGCCTAGGCCAGCATTCCCTCACTCTGGCCAGCGACCTTATATAGGCGTGGCGGCCCTGTTTGGCTGCGTGGGCCTGGCTGAGGAGGCTCCCAGTTGCGTCCAGTCGGGCCCCAGTGTCTGTGTCCAACCCCTGTCCGACAGTTGGGGGCCTGGGCCCTTTCTGGTTGGGCACGTCCAGGTAGCCTCCAGTCTCCAAGTGTTTGCCGCCTTCTCATTGACTCGCTGGGCCTCTGTGACGACAATGCTGCATTCTGATTCGCCCGCGGCCATTTCGTGATGTGTCGGCCTCACACTGTGTGTGCCCAGCGCGCAACCACCTGGCCCTGGGCTCAACTGCTTGGCGCAGCTGCTGTTTCTGGAAGGAGCCCAGGGAGAGGCTCACGTTGCACTTCTACCAACTGGCGTGTTGCAACTGTCTGATACCCACATTAGAAAATGCTGAGATGAGGGCCTCTCGTGGATATGCAGGCACGCCTTCACTCAGGGCGGGCACGATGGTTGCTGGGGGCCACAGCCCAGATCATGTGCATTTTAGCTAGGGCCCTGTGAGGGCACATTCCTCACATAATCGAGATTACCCCAAAAAGTCCTTTTTTTTTTTGTTTTTTGTTTTTAAATTTTAATAGAATTTCGTTCTTTCCGATCAAAGGCCAAGTAGTAGATTGTGGTAATTTTCAAATTTCGTACTTCTTCTTGGTTTTTGCAAAAGCAGAAAAGTTCGAAATTTCAAAATTCCCCATCTTGCCACTTTCCGAAAATTCACATTTTTGTAAGTGCTGAAAAATAGTAAAAGACGCAATACCAAAATTATTTTCTTTCAATTTTTCACGAATTTTTTTTTTTTCCTTCTTACTCGGTGATGACTCCCCCGTCAGCTGGGTATCTGACTAGCCACTGACAAATGACTAACTGCACACAATCAACAGACATTCAAAAAAAAAAAACAAAAAAAAAAAACGATTCTTTTTCTTTTTCATTTTTTTTTTATGTTGATTAGTGACAGCATACGGGATTGGACATTGCAGTTTGGTCTGTTTGCCTGCCTGCATCGTTTCCCCCTCCCCTTCCTCCTCTTGATTTCTCTCGGCTCGGTAAGTGCCACGGCAGCATCTGCCAGCAAGTGCCACGTCAGCATCTGCCAGCAAGTGCCACATCAGCATCTGCATGTCAGCAAGTGCCACGTCAGCATCTGCCACATCAGCAAGTGCCACATCAGCAAGTGCCACATCAGCAAGTGCCACATCAGCAGCCAGAATGCTCAGGCGCAGTCCACGAATCGCCGCTCAACAGCAGGGCGCCGTTCCTGCACGAGCCGAAGCCCAACTAGCCCCCCGGGTACCGCACCCGACACCGGCCACAACCATGGCGACGTGAGCCACCGCCGGAGGTGCCGTAGTCTCACAGGTTGGCGTTCCGGTGGGGAACGGGGGCTTGGCAATCCCGTACTCCAAGGCATGACAGGCCAACAGCCCGGCGAGTCCATGTTGGACTTTGCCACCCGATCCTAGCAAGCTGGTGGCCGAAAAGGAACAGCGGCAGGCCGAGGCCTCTGAAGCTCAACGTCGGCAGCAGGAGGCAGCCGAAAATGCAGTCCAGTGCCTCCGACAAGAAGCTTTGGCAAGCCTGCAGCAGCAAGAACTGGAGTACGCAGCCACACTGCACGGTTGGCAATTTACCCCGACTGCAAATAACCCAGATCGTGAAGATAGTTGTCAACAATGCAAGTCCAGATGAGTGTCAACCAGCTGATGATTATCAATAATCGTATTCGTGTCCAGATACCCAAGAGAAGAGAAGACATACACAGACAAGGTAGATGAGAGGGAGGAAAGACTTAGAGTGGGGAAGATAGAAATAATGCCCACTGCGTCTTCGGGCTCCCTCCGCAATCACCACCTCAATAATCAATAATCTGAATGAGTATCTGAAGTAACCTCAATGTGCCACGTGGCACGTCTAGTCAGTCCCTCATCAGCGATGGAGCAATGTCGACATGAAGACAACCAGGTAAGTATCCACGATTTCTCCACAGTCTTGTCTCCTCCTGAATGACGATAATCAGAACAGCAACACAAGTCACATGGCTTCGCCTCGTCAACCAGTGGTATACATGGCAGCTCTCACATCAGCCACCAGTAGTACACGTGGCAGCAGCCACGTCAGCGACAGCGCATGGCAGCTGCCACATCAGCATGCCAAGAAGACAGGTGCAAGCCAGCCACCATGCCGGACCAGCAGTGCGTCGCCGTAGACACAATGCCAGCATAGAGCCAGCACTCAGCCAGCTTTGCAGTGTTGAGCCAGAGTCGTCATCAACGCGTGAAGACAACATCGACGTAAGACAGAATGAATGTCAAAGCCAGGAATGACAGCGCTTATGTAGCGTTGATTCGGGGTCTGGGCCCCGGATGCTACCAGATCTCGATGCAAACTAAGGCCCAGATTGGTCTGAAACCGAATTCCCTCCGGCTTGGATGCTTGTTTGGGTACCGGCGCACAACAAGTGAGTGTATCCAACCAAGGGCCTCGGTGCGGTACCTTTGACTCTACAGTTGACTTTGACCCTTGAATTTCCTGTGTGCAGCGTTGGGTCACACAGCCAAACGTGACAGACTCAGGCCTGGGTGTGTCTTGGTCACACAGCCCAGCGCAGACCAACTCGGGTCTGCGTTGCCTAGGCCTGAGTTCTAGGCCCCAGGCTACTTCTGAACAGGGTTACCGCATTCCTGCCGGCCCATTTTCGAGTTCCACCGCAGAAATATTTAAGACTTTAACCCTCGTTCATAAGCAGCGTCAATATCAGGAGCAGTTTCAAGTAGTTCTCGTTTACTAAACCATCTGTCCTCAAATGGTGCCTGAGACTTAAATCGTACCTTGAACTGCTTCTGAGGTCGTCCGCGTCCTCCCGTAGAGAAGTAACCATGCTCCATGATTCTGTCTACCTCATATCCGCCATCCATGTCTGGTGGAATCATAGAAGGTTTGTGTGGAAACTTATTTCCTTCTACGTAAGGTAACAATTTGGACACGTGAAAGACGGGATATGTTTTGAAACGAGGGGGAATATCAATTCAATAAGACGGTCCCTCTGCATCCCCAATTACTTTGAGAACTGCTCAGGGTCCAAAATAGACAGGAAGCAATTTTTGGGACACATCTTTCTCTAATGAAAACTCTTTAGATTTTACCCAAACCAGGTCACCCTCTTTGAATGTAGACGGTCGACGGTGTCTGTTGGCTTGTTCAATCATCCGTAGTTGAGCTTTCCTTAGATTATCTTTAACTTTCTGGATGTCCTCCTGGAACAATATTGCATATTCTCGGATCCTTGGGGGCAACCTAAGGAATTGGTATCGGTTTAATACATCAATGGGACGTTGAGGTTTCCACGCTTTGTGAAGTGCATTCGGGGTTCGTCCAGTGGAAGTGTGGATACTGTTGTTATATGCACTAGCAATTTTGGGTAAGTTCTCATCCCAATCAATCTGATCGGGTCTAACATACATACGCAAAAGTTGCTGGCACAGACGGTTCATTTGTTCAGTCTGGCCATTCGTTTCGGGATGTCTCCCTGATGACATGGTCAGCTGCGTGCCATAAGCTTCCATCAGCTTTTGCCATGGCAGACCAGTGAACTTGACATCTCGATCAGACACAATGGATTTAGGGAACCCATACTCAATGACCCATCGCATCTGAAATTTCTGAATGACAAATTCAGTACGCGCTTCTGCTGGTAAGGGAACAAACATAGCGTATTTAGAGAAACGGTCCACAATTACCATCACTCGACCATTACCATTGCGACTTTTAACCAGACTCATGAAGTCAATTGAGATAGACTCACCTGGTTCACTTGGTATAGGTAATGGTTTGAGAAGTCCAAGGGGATTCTCAAGCGATGGCTTGTTTCTCTGACACACTAAACAGGTACGAACATATGTTAGTATATCTTCTTTAAGTCCCTTCCATTCGAAACGTTCTCTAACTTCAGCATATGTTTTCTTGAAACCAAAATAACCCTCAAAATTGTGACATTCCCAATTAACAGACTCTTAATCTTCCTTATGAGGAATGCACAATCTTTGTTCGGTTTGGTCAATCAAGAACAATAACCCATCAGTCAGTCTATAGTTGGGTAGTTGGGACAAATCTCATACCATCCATGATTGGTTTCCAAATAGGATCAGTACCATATCCTTGGCGAATATGGTCTTTCAGGTCATTCCCAACATCCAAGTAAGAGACAATTGCACCAAAGAAATCACTGCGTCGGGATAAAGCATCTGCAACCATATTAGATTTACCTGTGATAGTCTTGAGTTCAAAGCCAAAGGTGTCAATGAATGCAGACCATCTTACCAACTTGTCAGAGAGTTTGGACTGTGTTTTTATCCATTTTAGGGTTGAGTGGTCTGAGTAAGT